CACCGGATACCACCCGGATACCACCGGATACCGCCCGGATACCACCCGGATACCACAGGATACCACCCGGATACCACCGGATACCACACGGATACCACCGGATACCACCCGGATACCAGCGGATACCACCCGGATACCACTTGTATATTTTTTGGCCTGGGCAGATGTATAGACGGTACCAAAGCCTCTGGGAATCAAAGGGCTGATGCTAGAGCCGCGATGTTGCTGGAACGTGCGGCTGGGCCGCGTGCGGGGACCGCAAGGTTCCTGCGGCTTGCCGCATACGCAACATCCCTGCTCAACAAACAGGAAAAACAAACAACGTCGTGGAAACAGCTACGCAAACTCACGTCAACAAGTGCATGAACAGATCTTTCAATACAAAAATAGAGAAAACAGGTTCCTGCGGCTTGCCGTATACACAACTTCCCTGCTCAACAACACAAAAAACAAGGGACACGGAAACCTCTATGCAAACCCACGTCAACGACTACATGAGCTTACAGCATCAAAAAAATCAATGTTTTCATTAAAAATATAGGAAAAACAGGTCCTGGGCATCATTTTTTCTGACATGTGAAAAAAAAGATGATTTTCAGACATAAAAAACTAACTTCCGTAACTTTTTTTTAACTTACCGTGGTCCTTACTTACAACTAAGTTATAACTAACCATCTAAGATGTAACTTACATAGAACTACCGGTGAGACTTAATTTAGTTACACCAAGTTACAACAAGTTAAAACCATAGTTACACCAAGTTAAAACCATACATAGGATACTTACAAGTAGTCTAACTAGGGGGGCCCCATGGTGTGCGACGAACGCGAGGCTACCCAACGGCGATCTCTTGATTGCCTGGGCGAAGCGGGCATCGAAAACCGGGAGGTCCAGTATTCGACAAACCCAACGATCGGGCAGTTGAGACATGCTGAAAAGAAACTCGAACCACAACACTCGAACGAGGTCAATCGAACCAGTTCGAAGCGAGTGCAACGATCGATCCAGCACAAACAACTCCCACTGAAAACGTCCAAGCCTCCTGATTAGAATTTATGTGAATCAAACATGAACTAGTTGCAAGATCAAGTAAACACCGACTGGCAACAGGAGCTACTATCATGCCAAAGAGTGTGTTGGCTCCTCCTACCTGAAAAGGCTAATGAGTGCCAACTCCGACTCTGGCTAGCGAGCCCCTGAGCCCCCGCAACCCAGCCCACTGAGTATCTTGCCTCACGCGATTCCGGATCGGGGCAAGAGACCAAGGGCCGATCGGCGTGCTCGGTGCAATGATCATGTACTCAAAACGGGCAGCACAAACCCTGAGAAGAGGTCAAAAAGGAAATCACCAACACGACCGACAAAGTTGAGGTTGAAATAAAGTCGCACGAGCGTGGTTTCATCCTCCTGTCGGCTGGTTGACGAACCTGCCAATTGATCAAATTTTGCCAGAAAAAAGAAAATCACACATCGGTAAAATTCTCTGGCTGAGCGGGCTTGAAAGACTTAGGCTCTCCAGGCCGGTCGACCGACTCGTCAGGGATTTCATCAATCCTGACTTGAGAAGTCTGGTGTGACCGAAATGGTCGAGGCCTATTAACTGCACGAGCTGACTCTACGAAGGCCTGCGGCGTCATCGCCGAGTGGTCGAGCGCATCTGCACGTCTCTGCTCGAGCGATCGCCGGGACGGAGCCAACGTGCCCCCCATCCACGATCCTGCTGCTGGAGCTTGCCCAGGTGCAGTTACCGAAGGGACCGCTGAACTCACCGGATTCGGAACTGAGGCCGCACCAGCCGTAGTCGAAGGACCAAGGAGAGCTGGAGCCAGCTTAGGAGCCACTTCTGCTGACCGGACTGCCGGACCGTCAACAAGAGGCGGCATCACTGTGGCCAGGACTTCGTCGAGCGGATCATGGCTCTGCAATGCGAGCGCTTCTGCCTTGACGATGACCCGCTCCTTCTTGAAAAAATGGGCTCTCACTGACCAGGTGCGCGTTCATGGCATTGGACTCCACAGCGATTGCCGAAATGCGAGGGCCAGTCTCCTCTGCAGTCGTGGCTTCAGTCTTTGCCGTCCAATGAGCGTGTACTGCGGCCAGTTGAGCAAACTGAAGAGCTTGATCTGGGCATTCAACTCTGGCTCCGTGCTCACGTCCCCAGCTGGCACTTCTGATCAAAGTCGGACCAGACACTCTGCTGAACGCCAGCCACGAAGGTGGGATGGCTGCTGAGCTCACTGCCACATCAATGCGATCGCTAGCTGAGAGGAACCTCATTTCTAAACGATCTGCATCTGCCCCGAACGAGTCGGGGGATGAGGTCGCAACAAAGCGACATTCGAAGTGGCATAATGGAAAATCCAATGCCACCACGACACCTCCCTCGGAGCATGCGTACAGGCGACCGCCTACCTCGAATGAGCAAGCGATCACTCTCCAGCCCTGAAAAACCGTCACGACCACGGATGGGATGAAAACCGTCTCCGACAAAATCGTGTGGATCGCGTCCGCGACGTGCCAGAGTTGGATTGCCATATCGTGGTCTGAACGATAACCACGAAGTTCGAGGTGAACCAGCAGGTGACCTTCTAGCTTGATTTTCACATCGACCCATGTAGGACTCGATTCGGTCATGGGAGGCCATCTGAATGGCTGAAAAGCCGCATGGCTCAAAACATCTCCTGTCAGAGCGTCCCATCGAGCGCAGGGTACACTTGAGTAGCATGTTGCGGAGCCGCACAAGGTCACCTTGACACCGTCGAGGGTGCGCACCATGAAGATGTTGAAATGATATCCTGTAGAGGGAGTCCTCACTGAAGATCGATCAGACTTCACGTTGACATAGGACAACGCGTTGGTCAAGACCTCGTCGATCAGCCACCCTTGAAAAGGACTCTGAACCCTATTGTCGCGATTGTCCAAAATCAGGATAGATCGTTCGCCTTCATTGGACCCAATCTGGGACAGATGTCCAGGCAGTTGGCTATTGAGGGGATTCCTTGCAAGATCTGCAGGTGTCATCTGGCCCCGCCTGAAGGCTCTTCGTCCACGGCGAGCTGCCGCTTCTTGCTGCCTCCTCAGCCTGCGAGATGCAGGGAACTCATGAGCATGATCAACAATGCTTTGAGCTGCTTGTACTGCTGGAGCGGCAGGTTGTGGAGGTTGAGGTACAGCACTCGACTGAGGTACTGGAGGCGGTGGTGGAATGTTCACCACAGGCCCTTTTGGCTGATGAGCCTCTTGGTCCGTTGGCCGATCGGCCTCTTCAGAAACACCATCAAGTGTCTGAGAGAGGGCTGCGGCACTTGTTTCTTCTTCAAGGCGAACCCATGAGCTGACAGAGCTGTTGTCGTCCCATCGAGCGGAAGCATTGAGCATCTGGCGCTGCAAGGCCGCAGGTGGTGGTTTTGCCTTGGGCTTCACAGCAGCCGGCATCGCCTTCGAAGGAAGAGGCTGATCAGCCATGGCTCTCTTGCGATCCCAGGCCCTGAAAAGTGATCTTCCTGGCGATCGCACTCTTTCGCCAAAATGGCCGGCGACGAGTGTCGATACACGATAGTTTCAACCGATTGGTTTTCACAATGAAAAATAAACATCCAGCTGAACAGCATTCTCTACAAGTGACCCAGGTGTCCCAGACCTACCTAACCAACAACACCTGACCCCAACTCATTGCTGGTCCGGTTATGATCCAAAGCAAGCCATCGCAGCTAATTGGATCTAATTGGCTCATGGGACATTTCTGGGCCGCGGCAATGCCAATGTGTCTGTAAAGGGGGCACCTGCTTGAAAAATGTTTCCTCTTTTTCCCATCTAACCAGAACTGAATCAAAATGTTCAGAGCTTCTCACCAATCGGCATACGCCTGGTCAGACTGTCCGGCTTCCCCCGGGTTTCCGGATCCCGAACTGGACGAGTCGACGGCCCGTCGGCTGAGTCGACCACCGGTGTACTCAGTGCGCCTCTCAGTCCGTCCGACCCGCTCGGTGACACCCGCTGGAAGGAGGGTCCGCCGCTGGATGGATACTCCTATGATAGATCATAGATCTAGTAAGGTGGTGTATGAACCATCCCATAGCATCAGCATGAACCATGGATGTTCGTTGAATTTCTTTCAATATGCCAATCTGCACTCGGATCAAACCCCAGTCAGTTTCCTGCCTGCAGCTGACCAGCAAACGCAAAGAAGGCTCCTGTGCACAGTCGCAAGCTGAAGGCAGAACGGGAGACTGTGATTTGCACACCTTCGCATCTTGACACAAACACACGTCAACAAACCTCGACTCTAGGTCATCTCATTGATTGCTAGGTTCTTGGAACTTCAGAAGTTTCATGTGTTTCATCGGAACTGATCAATAGCTTCAGAAGTCCATAGCGTTCAGTCCCAGTCCACATGCTCCGAAAGGAGGCCTGAGCCATCCCCCCCTGGCTTACAGGATGGCATCACAAGCGTGGGACTCCAGCGGTTGGCGCGTTTGAGGCTTTGTCCCCATCGGCACGCAGCCTCTTGAGGATCTTGACTTTCAGCCGTCCAGAAGGCGGGGTGGAGATCAGGTGGGCATGGGTCTTGTTCAAAAAAATCACATGCTTGTGTCTCCAGTCCTGAATCGGACCTGCCCTCCAGCCCCTTTGTTTGCCCCATGTGGACATGCTTCTGGGCAACCACAGCTCTACCCCAGCCAAGACGACCTGCCCCTCATGGGTTGATCACCCTTGGCTTCGCAGGTGAGGAGCAAGTTCAGGAGGAAGCTTTGCTGAAGCTTCAGGACTCATCAGAACTCTCCTGAGGACGAAAAGCGGCAACTCTCTCCCATCTTCTTTTGGAGGTCAAATGAAAAATTGAGGCGACTTGGGGGGAAATACATGTTGGGAAATCCAGGTCCGCAAAGTTGCAAATCTCTACCATCCAATCCAGCTCACATCATGGAGGTCCAATGTTTCAGGCGCTGCTCGCAACGGGCATCCGAGCCTCGGAGGAGCAGCTCTGCTCGGTGCTCGGTGGGCAGAAGTAGGTCCACAGCTGCTGGGCAGTGCTCACCAGCAGAAAGCCCACCAGAACCTGATGGCATGCCCACCAGCACCCTTGCCCTTTTCTGGGACCACCGAGGTGGTGTGGATGGGCAGGCGGGTCCTATGCCGCATCGCTTCAAAGACGCTCAGAAAAAAGCTGTGGAGGGGTGCCAACCTCAGAACTGCTCGCAAACACTAGGCCTGAAATGAACATAGCACGTGTCACAACCGAGGTTATTGTTGACCAGCTGCTCCAAAAGAGCGCTAGAACATAGTGCAAAGTGTGAATGTGTGTCTTCAATGTTTTGTCCATGGACAACGAGAACCTGGAAGGGTCTTGTGTCATTGATGAGGCACGTCAGGTCTTTTCATAGCTGCCCAGTCAGCCAAGTCGCAAGTAAAGAGCCCAGGATGTACCTTGGCTTGTCTGGGCCCAGGCCCGAGGCTGTGCCACAGTGCCTACGGAATTTGAAAGTTCCAAAGTATTGGTGCACTGCAAAAAGCACCTAACTGGTTCCTTTCTTATTCTACAAAAGCCGCTTGAGGCGGCTGGTGGAATTGAGAGCCGTCCTTATCCCAGGAATCCCAAGTAGGCTTCAGTTGGAGATGGCCTGCGGACAGCTTGAGCATTTCAATATCCATCCCCTTGTATCCCCTTGTACTTTGGCCAGGATGGCATGGATGTTGACCTTCTCGTTGCCCAAGCATAAGGGGCGTGTAGAATGGTGCAGATATGCCGATATGCCTCATTATTGTTACCCTCTGACACTATCATGCTTGCGTGGAATACAGCCTGTGAAAATAGAGGAATTCAGTCTTCCTGAATTTCGGGGCCATCTTCCACGTAACCATGGACCTGTTGGATGGAGGGTATATGGTTAGATGTCCTTGTGTTCCTGGTCCTCCACCGTATTTCATCTTTCGGGTGGCTGCAGGTCAAAGCTCTTCCCTCGCAGCAAGGCATCTGAGATCATCCCAAATGGCACGGTGAGAGAGAGCCCCAGCGTCGCCTGAATCGGATGGATTCTCACCCGCCCCAGCGCCCGGATTGGTGGGCTTGCTCACTTTCTGACGAAATTGGAAGGGTTTCTAGAGTTTCAAGATTCTGACTGAATCAACAAGCAGAGGTCATTAGACATATGCAATTTCCTGAAACTGGACCAACTGCTCCAACCTGAAACCATCTCTCCGTGGTCCTCGCGGTGCGGGTTTGCATGGCACGGACCCCAAACGGTCCGACCCAACGGCACGACCAACGGTACGAGGCTCTGTCAGCGGCGTGGTCAGTTGTACGGCATAGGCCCAGAGGACATCGCTCAAGTTGGTGCCGATCAGGGCCTGGGCGACATCCCGCCCATGTGGCCCGATCTGAGTGACCCGAGATGAAGGACATGGGCACAAACTGGTTGTTCAGGTCGTTTACATCACGAAATGGTGCCCAATGTTGGAGAACCACCTGATCAACCTACAGAAAACTATCTTTCATCAGTGCTGCACATTTGGCCACCTTCGGCCCTCCCCGCCCTCTTTACACGACACGTTCGAGCTTTTCTCTGGATACCCCACTCACAGGTCGGATATGCCCCCCCCCCGACAGCACCAGGCCACATTCAGCACCAGAGATCCCAACACTGACCTGGACGGGAGCTCAAACTCCTGGCACCGAAACCACGGCGGTGCTTTCGCGACCCGGCCGCGAAAGACCCGGGAGAAGAGCGGACCCGAGTGGACATGGAAAACATATCCATCTGCGAAGATCTTCGAAATCGAGAACGGCGGGATCAGGACGATCGGTAGGTCCAGGTAGCTGTGGTTCCGGCTTGAGACTCCACTGCTCCACCGGCACCCTCTCCTCCCATCTGATAAAGTCGAAGAGGATCAGCAAAGGCCAACCACAGACTAACACCAGGAAGCCAATGCAACCAAACCTCAGGGTCTAGATGCGTGGCCGACGACTTTGGATCCCAAAGTCGTAACATATTGACAACAACATGTGGAACTCAAACAAGGTCATGGATGATAATGATGGCTACATTGCATGATGGAACTGCCAAATTTCAGGCAATCAGATTATATGTCATTATATCTTAAAGGATCTAGCTTTGGGGGTGCGAGTGGGAGCCGGAGCAAACTCGTCGACACCGACCGGTGCAAAAAAGTTCTGTGAGAAGTACTGAATTGGTTCAGTTCCAACAAAGCACCAACACAGTTACAAACTCCAATTCTTCCAAAGATCTTGATCATGGGATGCCCAAAAACAGGGCCCTTTTCATCCCCCACACTTCCGCTGGACCGGGAATCTGCCCAACAAACAGTCCCGCAGAGTTCAGGACCAAGGTCCGCCGTGATCTGTCAGGTCCGGGTGGCAAAGTCGGCATGGCCAAGGCCTCCTCTTTCTCGGGGATGTAATGCCTTGCCGACGAAACGCGCCGACCGGAGGGGAGCCTACACCACGTTGAAGAATAGGTGGGTTGCCAACACCACTCAGCCTACTAGAGGAAGTTCAACATTTTAATAACTATCCGGTGAACTTTCTAACTCAAACATGCATAATGTAGCCACCTGATGGAACTCCCCACCCTTCACTGCATCATGCGAGTTCCTGCATCTTCCTGCCGTTGTCAGTTGCACCCATGGACCTGTTTTCTTCCAAGTGCCGGGACCGCCGGTCCAGCGACGCTGGACACTGTACATCCGGCGATCCGAAGTTGGATTCACCAGGAGGATCTACAAAGCTCAGCCCTCGCTTCAGATCCAAAGCTCATGCGACCCCGACCTGAAGCCCAAGTCGCTCAAAATGATCCATTGGATTCGTCGTCTTCTCACGCCCGATCTTGGCTCATGAACCCTGCAAAGCTCGACCCTTCGGCGCACCTTTCGGGAAAAGGCGTCCGAACCGTCTCCGGTCCGAACCGCCCGAATTCACAAGCTCACCGTTCCCACGGATTCCGGCATCGTCTCCGCAAGCGGCGGGAGAGTCGCCGCGGAGGGTGCGGCGGCCACGGTCGTGGCCGGTGGCTCATCTTTGGAGCAAAGTGGGACAGTGGACATGATGACAATCAAAGCAACTTGCAGAGCTGAGAGTATCAGTTTCGAGGTGGCAAAGTAACTGCCACCATGAATCTCCAGATCACGGACTGCGATCACGATGAAAGGGATATCTCCAAGCAGGACCCGCCCTATCTTGTCCCACACGTACTTGCTCTGAAGCCTCTTGATTGCATGAACATCCCGTCGAAACAGGGTGATGGCCCCGAGGATCGGGACGAAGAAGCAAGATGACACTCGGATGTTCTGCGCGTCCGCAAGCCCTCTTTCATCCATCGGCGGGGTGGGGTTGCAACACTCACTATATGGTAAGAGGGCGAAGCCGTGACATAGGAGGAATTCTCCCGCACACAGAAGGCTCAGGGCACTTGCGGGTCCACCATGAAGTCCGATGACCAAGGATATGATGATGCAACAGTGGCCCAGAAGATATGCGAACGGCACAAAGCAGCACCCCAAGCAGCAGTTGCCATAGAAGTTGCTGGCGTCGTCAATTTTCTCCCACTGGTTCTGAAGCCACCAGTGCAAGATCCAATTGGTCATGCCAAAGTGGTGGCAAAGGTCGGCCCACATACACATTGCTCCAAATGAGGCAAAGGCAGCCCAAAAAAGATCTGGTGCTCCTGCTGATCGACCAGCCTGGGCATAAGACTCATAGAGATAGAGCACGACTGAAATATGATTGATCAATTCGAGCACATGTGCAAGGAGCATCAGCGGCTTCACCGCAGTGCCCGGCAGCATCGTGCGCCTTCTAGAGCCTAGAGCCTACCAGCATACGCGTACACCGATGTACCCACCCACTGCGAGTCTCGATCACAAGGGCTGCAAGCTCAGCACAAAACCCTCCAACTGAAAGATTTATTGTGCGGAAGTGACATGAAGTGAATTGATCTAGTTACACACCTTAGCTCAGGCATATCTGGCCAAACGAATGAGCCTTTCCTCCACAAAATACCACGGATCTCCAGTCAAATGCCACTGGCACTACCACTTCACCCGGCCGGCGAGCCCATCTGAGTTTCGGACTTCAGGAGCACCGTGTAGCCACCGTACCTTCGTCTCCCCGCACGGGTGGATACCCCGTTCGGACAAACAAAAAACGAAGATCAAAAAAAGGACAGGTGTCCGAGACCCAGAGACAACGATTCATGAGGGTCTAACTTAGATGAGTACAGTAGATGGCCTGAGCTCCCCACACACAGGCAGACAAAAGCGCTAAGGAGTCACCTGCTGTCAGTTTTCTCGAGGGGATGTCAGGTAGAAAGGACAGGAGACAAGAGCCTCAATCAACATGCTTGAGCATGAGCTACTTGGATTTAGCGTCAAGCAACATGCGAGAATCTCAGCACCTTGAGTGGTATTGGAGTCTCAGGCTTTGGAAAGCCTGGAAACGTGTACCCCGGTTTCCTGGCTCCAAAGCATCCGCCCAAAAGAGCATCCAACCATTTTCTGGGCCTGGAGCGTGTGTGTTTTTTCAGCACAGGTGTGTTTGAAGTTGCCTCTACCTCTCCACGAAAAAGCCCTCCGTCGACATATTCCGACGATCCAGCCTAGCCAGCTGGACTTCACGGCCTCTCCAGTTGATGCATTGGCATCTGCGGTTGCCACCATCGCTGACCCTGCAGTTTTTTGTGCGTTTGCCCTCAGCGTTGGGAAAGTCAACAACCTGATTGGGGTAGGACCAGGACCAGGAAGTGGAGGAGCGAAAAAATGTGGCCGCCCTTCTCTGGAAAAATGCAAAGTGAATCACTCGCTTCACATTTCAGGGTCGTTGCCAGGGCTCCAAGATGATGCTCCCTTCCGAGTCGAGATCATGCCCAACACGTAAGCCCCCACCCGGCACTCCTCCCATGGTGAAAAGCACTGCCAGCACGTGGAATGGATTCAGCCTTTCTCCCAAGAAGCAAACCTCGGGAAGCTGAGAAGGTTTCGGCACACTGGGACGCTTAAGCTGGCGGCACCAATTGCTGGATGCGGAAATCTCACCAACTGCCAACGTATCCAAATTGAACAGCGGGGTTTTGACCGCCTAGGGGGGGCTGTCGGGCCACCTCCCAAAATCCATTGCTCGTGGCAGCCCTCCTTCCCCAACTTCAAACATTCCCTCTGGCCCAAGTCCCCTGGCTTCTGTTGATGTGCCGATGTGCATAAGTTCAGAACATTGGCACTGACTCAATTCAAACTTATATGGAATCTCAGGTCCACCAGGCCACCATGCACCCAAGCATGTGGCTCTCGCAAAGTCTAAAGCGGGTGGGCCACATCAGGATGGCGTCCGGGAGAAGGACACATTCTGAATTCTTGAATGCAAAGATCTTTATGGTCCGAGTTCAATTCAAAGGAACTTCCAAGTCAACACTCACCAACTAGGCTAGCCTTAGCTGCGAAGCAACCAAGCTGCCGAGAAGACCATGGTCCAAAGATTGCTGGTGGTCGAGAACATGGAGTTCGAAGCCTCGCGAGACCGGCCACCCGACTGCATCGGCGACCGGTCGACCGACCGGACAGGAACGCCGGCATCGCCCCGACTCGGCTCGGTCCGTTCACGGACCTGGGAGGTCCCAGTGGGGCGATCTGTTCAATGTCTTCTTTTCAAGGTTGCACCAAAATAAACTATATCGATATCGCTGAGTCAAGAAATTGGACCTCATCCTGGGATAGACACTGATACCAGAAATTGGGTCTCCAAGAGTGAATTACCGTAAGGAAACCACCAAGCCCTCAAGGCATTGGCATGTGTCACGGTTTGCAGATGGCTCACCTACTACTCCCTCTTCCTCTTCCTGCTTTCGTTCCACGCAACCACCGAGGTGTAATCCAACGAGAGGTTGAAGAGGTAGTTGGCCGCCAACCACGCAGGGCTCACAAATAGAGCCATGCGACCTGGAGGCAAGTGATCCAAAGACTGTCCTCATAGCTGGTCATACTTTCTCCGAAAAAAAAGAATTGGCCGCCAAGTGGCCATACTTCCTGATTCTGCTGGGCCCATTTCTGCTCGGCTCCTCACCTGGAAGCAAAAGTGAATGATCCTGTGGTCGCTTCAGTGGGATGACTCGAAGATGGTTTTGCGAGGCTCACATGCTTGTGAGAGTCGAAGTTTCCACCAACAGTCGGAAGTCAGGTCAGGTCGGTTAGTCAAGTCAGGTCGGTTTGATCAACTTAGGAACCTTCAGGCGTGACTTGCCGGCGGCTGCAGCAAGGTGCGAGCAGCCAGAAGGAGAAGCCTTGGCCGCAAGGCAGAAGCGCCGCTCGGCCCAAAAGAAATGCTAAAGGAACGCCATGCGCCCGCCATGAGTGATGCCTTCACTAGCTGACTGCAATCAAGTGAAGAGATCTGAAGAGTAATGACTCAACAAAAGGAAAAGACATTGGTCTTCGGACGCTCGGGTTTTTTTTTCACAGCGTGTCCTGGCTGCCCGAGGCACCGCAGGTATTGAAGTAGGTCAGGAAGTAGGGATGGTCAAAAGACTGATCCTTGAAGATGCTCTCCTGAAAAACGCCCCCCCCGATCCCTTTAGTGAAAAGAACCAAAAACAACCGAAGGCGAGAGCCGGAAGAAACTTTAACGGTGGCGCCGTTTCGGGCGGGTGACCGATGATGACCACAAACAAACAAACAAACAAACAGACCAACCAACAAACACAAAAACATCTTGCAAGACCTGACTGAAGGCCGATACAGGCCAGGACCGACCCAAAAACCAAACGCCACTGAAAACCGCCACCGAAAACCGCCACCGGACCGGTTCGGACTCTTTCACCACCCGTCTGCTCCCACGGTAGACGCGCTGGGTCTAGGCTCGATGAGCTGTGAAGCGGCCACCCAAATCAAGGCCACCACCACAATCAATGCCAGGCCTGGATGAGACCCTTCGGCGCAGACTTTGGGGGGACCTAGCAGTAAAACTGCAAGGTGAGGAAACAAGGGATCTGGGGATCTTTGTTCTCGATCGCCTGAACATGCTGGAATGGAGGGTAACCGGGTAACCAATTGTCCCTGCGTGCGCCCTGGCCTGCAGGTGCAGAATTGGAGCACTAGTTACAGGGTGCTTGGCAGCTAAAGGTGAGTATAGAACTCACTCACAAACCTTCTCTTACCGACTTCTATAGTAGAGCTTTTGAAAGGACATGTGGCCATTTAGCCAACAATCCTGTAGATCCGAATTGTTATCAAGCCGATGCGATGCGGAGCGCGTACCAAAAATAAAGCATCTGGTTATTGAAACTTAAACCTGTTTAGGAGCAAGGACGCTACTAGGGGCTCCTGGCCGTACTACTAGGTTTATTGTTTTAAGTTGGGAAGTTCGACCGCCCCCCCACCTGCATAGTGGCCAGCTCGGCTCCATCGCATCGTGCCCAGCAAGGGTGTGTTGGAAGCACTCATACATGGATGGCCGCATATTGTTGTTTTTCACTTCAAACAAGCAGTTTCTGGAATGCCAACTAAGGGGGGTAGCCCAAGGGCTTCCAAATCCTTAACCCTAGCACCGAGATCAAAGCTGTGAATTTGGATGATTGCCATGAGTAGTGAAGCTGTGCAAACTGCTGCGGATTGCTATCCTTTCGCGAATAAGACCCAAAACATTGGTTTCAAGCAACTTACTGTACAGACTGTAGACCAATTTAAATGGATCCATAATGTTGTTTTGTCAGAGAAGTGTACCCAAGGGTCACAAGTCTTGATTGAAACCAAGATATCAAACGTTGTCAAACTGTTAATTGACAACAGCTTGCAAATCAAGAGTGCGTGTGGTTCCAAAGGTGAGACCCACACTCCTCCAACCTTCAAAACCATGTCTCATCTTTCGCCGAGCTTGTCAAACTTCTTGGTCTTTGGAGCTGCTTGCCTTCCAAAAAAAAACAAACAGCTGCCCACGGGTCCTTCTCACTGCAGTGGCCAAGCTCTTCAATACACCTGCGCCATGAAAAATGGCGCATGAGACGGCAGTGCGCGGTGTTTCCACGACCTTCGCTCTACACGAACCAAATTCATCGCTCCGGTATGGACCTTCGCACGGCAACGGGCCCGGGCCCGACGGGTGGACGAGGATGACTCGGTCGAAAGAACGCCGGTCACCTCGATGCCGCGCCATGACACGCCAGGGTCACAGGGGCGTCCCGGTCCGGGTGCGAGCACGTGGCCAGTGAGTTCATACGGCGTCTGTGCGTCCTCCGTGGATCTTTTTTGGGGTATGATGTTGTATGATGTGTATGGTGGGACCGAAGAATAGCTGTGAATGTATGCATTCAAGGAGACTGAGCTCAATTCAATATGAATTTGATGCGTTCAAGGAAAAGGAGCTGGTGCTACAAATGGCAGCCATCCGGACAAAAAACCTTGGCTTTGTCCGAGAACCACGAAGTACAACCTTGGGCCTCCAAAAATGGCTTCAGTGACCATCTAGAAACAGGTGCTTGCACTTGAGCTGGCGGTGCTCTTCCAAGATACTTCACTGTGGTGACGATAAGCTTAGACTTGAGGCCCCATGAGCCCGGCCCCCTTACGCCTAACACGTGTTTCACGGCCCCTTGCGAATCGGTCGAGTCTTGGCTCTTGGGAGTCGCGGGGTGGAAGTGGCTCCCATCTGGCTACCCCCCTCAGTTTCGGAAGTGAGATCCGACACCTCTCTTTTGAAAATCCAAGACTGGTGTCTTTGTGCCGGAAGGTCGACCCCAAAAAACCGGTGCGGAGCAAAGACGCGGTCGACGGGTCGTGTGCGACGGGTGTGCTTCGCCGGCTTCCGAGTTCACAGCGCTCTCGGTCCAAGCTCTTTCTCATCAGTCGTCGTCCATGAGCAGTGCGCTCGAATTCGAGATATGTAACACATGTAGGTAGCATTATGGAGAAGGCTGCCTCCGCACTTGGCTGCGAAGGACGTCGTTTGCAAAGACTCGGTGGATGACTCACACGTTTGGCCAAACATCAACAGGCCCCTGCTCTAGCTCGAGGGTCAAGGAGGGAAGATCCTCAAGGACTGCTGGTGGGGCCTCAGTGCCGGTGAGGAGGGTGCCCTAAATGCTTTATGTTTACATGTCGCAGTGGCCGGGGTTCCAAGCCGGGGGAAAAAAACTGAACCATCCGTACAAACGACCAGCCGTGCCGTGCATCCGCTCCAATAAGGTCTGATTGAGAAAGAAATCACTGCCTTTAGGAACTTCGGGAGAAAGGCTTGCATGGAATGGTCCCCAAACACGGTCCCCAAACACAGCCCAAAATACTCCATTGTACTAAAATATATGAAAGGCCCTTTATACTTTATACATATTTATTGATTAGGTCAGCATCTGGTACTGGGTGCACATTTAAAGAAATCTGTGAAACCCAAAGAGCCTTGAACTTGTGCACGATGTTGCATGAGTCATGCTTTTTTGTGGCTCTGGTGTTGTCTGTGCTCCCAGCTGATGGTGCTCTCGTGGTACGAGCTCGGGCTGGTGGCATATCCCTTGGCCTCAGCGGTGACAAGTGATTCCGGAGACAAGGCGCAGAAGCGCATGGAAGTGGATGGAAGCACGGGACACGTCGCCAGGGCATGAAGAACCCTCTACCTCTTTACTTTGCACATTGGACCGGTGGCCATCAACCTGAGTCAAACCATTGGACCGGTGGTCAGAGACAGCCATACGATCCTGAAACATGTTCAAACCAGAGGTATGGAGGGGCTATCATTGCACCCATCAACCAAGAGGGGCCGCTGGTCTTCTTGCTTCAGTTTCCAAGCATAACTGTAGCCGCAACTCCCCTCCTCCAAACTGCATGCATAGGACCTTTTTGAGGTGCAAAAAAGACAAACAACTCCACACTCGCCCTATTCCACAGAAGTTTCCTCGGGTCAGAATGATCCACCTGAGGCGTTTCTTCTCGTTCTCCGAGTCTTGGCACCCGTGGCCCGTCCCGGAGCTGAGCTCCCGTGACGTTGTAGGGGCTCGTTCCGAAGTAGGGGCTTCGGACAGGACTGCCCACGAATTGGCCACCCTGCGCCGTGGTGTGCGCGTGGTTCTTTTGGTTCGGAGACGAGGTGAGCAAATATGAGCAGATACTGGAGGGGTGTCGGAAGTATCAATTCCTATTGAAAATGATTGAAGATACAGAACGAATTGGAGAGCTCCTCCCATACTGGGGACACTGATGCTCTGATACCACGTGACTTCTGGTCCCACGTGAACCATGGTCTTTATTTGAGGGGCCAATCAATTCGAAGTTCACCACATCAACTTCTAGCGGCTTTGTAAACCCTGCTGACTTCAGCACAGGGATTCGAGCAGCGAGTCGATTCTTTGGTCCTTCTCCAAGCGCCGGTGGTAGAGCTACCACGGTAGCTCCCGCGGCTCTGGTGGCTCCATGGTGGAGCGCAACGAGCCTCGTCTGCATTCATCGCCTCGTCAACGGCAGACGTCGTCTGGTGAGGGTTGACTGGAGGTCCGCCCTTTTGGCCCAAAGAGTCTGAGACAAGGAAGTTGCCTCGTACCCCTCAGCTGGAGCCTGGTGAGTCCCAAGGTACTGATGTGGTCCAACTGTTCGTCCTTGAGCAAAAACTGTTGAGCATAAAGGATTTGACGTCTTTTTCTCAGCAAAACTGTTGGGCATAGTTGGAATTCCAACAGTTCTGCAGTTCTGCATGCTCATTGCCGGTCTCATAGGAGCTGGGCAGCTGCAGCTGAGGGGATGGAGCTTCAGAAAGCCGAGCTAACGCCAACGCTACCAAAACATATTAAGATCAAAGTGAAAACATTCGGAAAGGATCGGAAAGGAACGTTTTTTTGGAGAGAGGTGTTGTTCTGCGAAGATTCATATGTTTCATTTCAATAGAGAGACCCTTCAAGCGTTGGACCACTGGATTCTAGCTAAGGCCCACTCTCTTTTCAAAAGAAAAACATGTAGGGACAGTGACTTGGAGGTGAACAAGGCGCATACTCTCTTCAGCCAGAGGTCCACTTTCACAAAAGATCTCAGCTTGGCTAGCGCACCCAAAATTTTCGGCTTGACCACCAGGCAAAGGACAGAAATCCTGGAACTCGGCATGAACTAGGGAGGTCAAGTCCATAAGTGACATCACTGCCCTGCGGGCCCTGCACAATGAACTGCGTCATCCTCCTTGTTGACATGGCCGGCCAAGTCACCTCCCCCGACCAGTGCCCATGGGATCCACGTCACCACGGCCCCGACCCAGAGCCAGATCCACTGTTACCGACGTGGCCGGGCGACTGGAAGCTCATGCGAGGCCGTGCTTGCCAGCATATCCACAGACCTCCAAGTGGGGTGACTTGGGGCAATCCGAAGCTACATGCTTCTTACGATGCTTCGACTACATCAGGATAAATCCTTCCCCCAAATCTGTGTCAACCATCCTTTCACCATCCAACCTGGAAACATCGGATATCACTTCCACATCACTTCCACATACGAGTACTTACATATCTCCACATACCCTGCACATCCTCGCTGCCCCTGCCTGTGGCCCAATCCACCCTTCGAGCTCCTTCGAGCAGGGTTCCAAGACCTCCACCTTCAGCGGGAAGCACCGCTGGGTGTCATCGGAATGGCTGGCGCTGGTGTCTCCCCCGGGACACGCCGACAGGGCACCCAGCAGATCGATCTCTGCGAAGAATTCCAGGAAGTCGCCCGGACGCACCGGGCTGGCCTCGGGGAGCTTTCTCTGGGGAGTTCTCGGAGTTTGTTCTCGTCTGGGTGACGAGGTTTTATAATGGTGAAATATGGTGAATGTGTTGTCCGAGCACTTGCATGGAACTTTGAAGAGAGGGAGGTAGCTATTGTTCCTTTGGTGATGGGCGAAGCAAGAGCAGTGGGATCAAACGCCTTCAGGCAGACCGTAAGTCAAACTGGCATCAAGTCCTGGCTTCAAACAGTCTTTCTTCAGCCAACTTCTGGCAGGTGAATTTGGCATGTTGGTGGGTTGCAAAGATGTTCGGGTGATATCACGCCCCTTCCGCCTCGCAGTGTCCAAACAAAGGTGGGCCGTGACACTCTCTACCCTGGATGAACATAAAAGGTATTGCTTGTAGTACGGCCAGCAGCCCCTAGTAGCTTCTTGCTCCTAGTAGTACGGCCAGGAGCCCCTAGTAGCGTCCTTGCTCTTAGTAGCGATGCCAGGAGCCCCTAGTAGCTTCTTGTTCCTAGTAGTACGGCCAGGAGCCCCTAGTCGCGTCCTTGCTCCTAGTAGCGATGCCAGGAGCCCCTAGTAGCTTCTTGTTCCTAGTAGATCCTAGTAGAGGGTATTGACAAAATCTCTAGAAACCGTGGCCTTCATGAAGTACTGGTGCGTGTCTTTGGTAAAACCTGCCGGCCAGCAGTCAAGCGGTCGTCCGAGCTGCACGATGGACCTACCAACTCTCCACAGACTTGTGAACAAACAATCTTCAGGCGTTTTGAGCGGACAAAGCTTCAGGTTTAGGACTGATGTATCTTTCTCTAATACAACTTCAAAAAAGAAATCTATCAGATTTGCCTAACAGAACAAGATGATGTATTCTTGTGTCCAAGCCTGTGCACATGAAGACGTTCAGCACATCGTGAACATGCTTCTCAGCATCTGCCACCCCACGCTCAGCCAAAGCCCGGATCCTGGGCTAGCTCGGCTGGGCACTCAGCGAAGAATCGGTTTCAGAGCGTCATTGGGGCTCAAAATGCTCAAGTGAATTCTGAGACTTCGATGAATTCTGCTCCGCTAAAAGCGGGTTGAAAAAAAATATAAAACATAGTTGGAAGCAAGGGTGGCAAGTTCAGTTCTCTCTATTCTACCCCAAGGTCTATTGGCAAGTGTGAAGGAAGAAATCCTTCTCCATATCGAGAATGCTCCACTAGATCCAAGGTAGCACGTTCTTTCTCATTCAGATTGTCTCTCTGTCTTCCACCAGCCTCTAAAGGCGAACCAATCCAAGCGAAACCACCGCCTTTCTTTCCAACAAATCCAAGAATCAGGTTGGAGTGACAGCAGTGGTCATAATCTTCACCCCTTAACATCCGGTTGGAGTAGGGGTCGCAGCGCGTCCCAATGACATCATGGACGCTCGCACCATCCTGGTCCCAGCCATACCACTGCAGGCTATCATGGGTAATGGTGGCCATTGGCCTCGCGTCGACGTCTCAGACGAGCAGACGAGCAGCGAGGCTGAGACGGAGTCGCTGAACGAGCTCGAACGAGCCTTTGATGAGCTCTGAGGGGTGACCGCTTGGATAGTCCCCCCAAGAAGAACTCTAAAGCAGTTTTTAAGGGTTGATCTTGGGATGGGTACTCTCTTCATCACTTCTCCAAATAGGTATGGCGGTATGGCATTTACAAGTCCTTCACTTGATGATCTCTGGTCATCCCAAACAATCTGGCGCAAGAAGAGCTTCGAGGTCATCCCCCGATGGGATGCAAAAACATAAACTTCTTGTCCACGTCCCCGAGTCTTCTGAATGCTTTCCTGCGATGCCTTTGAACGTGGAGAAGGCCGGCCCAGGCCCGGCTGGCCTGAGAAAAGGAAAGCAGCTCCAAAGGCGATCCCCTTTGGTCAAATGGGTCGCATGCAGCTGCCTCGTCTTACCTGGGCGTCTTCAAAAAAGGCTGAGCTGAAGGGTTTCGGCAGGGCCGTGCCCCAAGACTCTTTGGCATGAAATTCAAACAATAGACTTCAAATAAACCATGCGAAAGTGCCATCCAACACCCTCTACGCGTTTCAATGCTTCACTCTTGTGGTCTTCAGTCAAACCCCTGGACCTTTCCGATCAAATCCCTCAACTCGTGTTCCCCGCCCCCAAAGCCGGCCAGCGCCTGTGTAGAAGCGCTCTTCCAGGTTGTCCAAGCACCAGAGGTTCAGATCACCCACCTCGTTTTCCAGGTCGGATGAGATGAAAAAGCGAATCTGCAACAGTTCCTGAGTCCGAACATCTCCAATCCTCCATGTGTCCGAAAGAAGCGCGCGCGCGTGGCTTCAACACCGCGGCTGGCTCAATGAAGCCGCCCCCCCCCCCTGCCCGGTCCACGCGCGCCCGCAGGTGTGGGGTGAAACACCGGCCCAGGGCCCCGAGCCCCGCCCAGATCCCGCCGCCTGAGGGCCGTCGACGCAGTGGATCCGGAAGAAGTGGCCCCTCGGCACCTCGAAGCTCCGCGCCGCACGGGGCGGCACCTCCACCTGCCCCCGAGCGGAGCGGAGCGGAGCGTGGGATGTGACGGCACTGCGGGTGGTTGCATGGGATGTTGAAGGAACACAAGGTGTGCTGCTCCGATGGGGGCGAGGTGTGAGCCGGAAGCTTCGTGCACAATGCTGCCCATGGCCCAAGCTGATTACTTTACTTTCTGGACAACTATCAAGCCACACTAAGTAGATCAGTAGATCTAAGTAAGCAGAAGATGAAACCCAAATGTTCCCCCCTCTGACTTTTCCAACATCTCGCTACTTGAATGGTGCCAAACACAGGGGACGCATGTTTGCAAGGGCCAACCGCGACTTGCCGATGCCTCAAAGGACTTCTTCAGGCCCACCCGCGCACGCTCGTAGAAGCTTGCCTTGGTGAGGGGTGCGGCCAACTGCGGTGGATGTCGCGGGCAACTGCGAGCTTCAAACACAAGAGGAAGGGAGCAGAGTAGTAGCTTCTTGTTACTAGTAGTAATGGCCTCCAACCTAGTAGCTTCTTGTTACTAGTAGAAAGGGAGCAGAGTAGGCCGAAGTTTTGAAGGGTCTCAACCTCGTCACCGGCTTACAACTACCCAAATCATCCCAAATCTACATCATGTTGTGTGATCAAGAAAGTGGCGGGGCTCGCCTCCCCTTCAGCCCTCGTAATTGCCTCATAATGCTGTGTGTTGGGTGCAATTATTTCGCTATACTGATCGAAACCTTAGACACATACATACATGTCAATTTATTTGAATATGAAAGAGATCTCTCAGGATATAGACCTGCCCGCTCCCACTGGCCTCTGCCCCCAAAATGGCTTTGCTTTTAGTACCACCAACACATACCACCAAAACGATCGCAGGCACGTCGTACTTCGGCAGCAAATCCACGCGGTAGGCAATCACCGCCGGCTGCCGCCGCCGCGCGTCCGCATCCGCCGGAGCCCCGTCGGCGGGCGACGCCACGTCGCGCGGACGCTTCATCGGCACCAAACAGGGCAGCGTTGACAAGGCAAGGCCGGCAAGGATGAGAAAGTGATGGGCTGACATGGTTTGACATATCGACTTGATCGACCCAGATGGGACGTGCTTCAATTGCATGTCATGATCTTTTGGATCAAACCCACAAAAGACAGATGTGCACCCGGTGGAACAAATGCACGAAGTCAACCTGTATTCCTCCGCAGAAGTGCGAGGTAGGAATTGGATGGAATTGGTCTATCTAAAAATAGACTCTGTGGTGACTGTGGTGGGATTTACAGTAGTTGATCTCTTGGATCTATGACACTATGATCTGTTGTTGAGGGACTCTTCTCTTGACTCGTCCCCCAGTGTGCCTGTGCTGTGCTTTCTTTTTGACGTGCACTGAGTGAGCCGAAGCTGTTGGCAGATATCTACAAAAGTAAACGCCTGCAAGTTAAGGTTCTGATGTCAAATGCTAAAGTGTGTACTGTAATCAAGAACATCCGCTGCAAGTGTCCTCTTCCACTTTCAAAAGTTGCCAATGGCGCTACCTGTCCCCAAGCTATCATAATAGCACTAAATCAGAAGCTACCTACTTCCAAGGTCCTTGGTGCAAACAGTGGCAAACCGGAACTGTGAAGAGAAGGTACAGGGTAATTATGCACCATCAAGGATGACACAGTTCGATCTTCCATCACAATCGGCACACCAAATATCCTCCGAAACCATCCAAGCTCCTCGTCACGGAGCGGTTTCAAGCTCCGCATCAATCAGGCTTCAAGATCCTTATCGCTAGCATGTATGATCATGTAGGTCTTTATCATGGATTTTCGGGTCGAAGTGATCGATGGATCGGCCTGTCCCGATCTCTTTCAGATCCAGGTCCCCTGACTGGGCAGAAACACCATCCCATCCAGTTCCCCAACAATCCGGCCTTGTGGATAGGGACCCAAGCCTCTCAAGAGCAAAGGAGGACAAAGCAACAGGTGGATGATCAATCATGCCATGTGATGTTTTTCCTGCTCTACTGAAAGCCATGATGAACAACCATTGACGTCCTGCCTTTGAGCCTGTGTTAGAGGCAAGCTTACCTTGAATAGAGGCATCACAGTAAAGAAATGTAAAGAATGTTCAAAAGAATATGAATATGGGATAGTCAGATAGACTGAAGAGGTTGGAAATTAATCCCAGAAGTCCAAAAAATGGAAGAAAATATAAAGGGCCGAGCAAAAATAGATGTCGAATCCCAGGAAGCCCAAATAGTCCATAGATTTAGATTGAACTAAAACATACAATTATATACGTATACTAACAAACAGAATAGCATATAATAGCTGATGATGTTGGAAAGTCCACAAGTCCAAACAACTGAGCAACTAAAGAACTAGATGTGCAAACCTCTTGGACAATTTAACCCATTAAATCAAGCCATTTGTTCTTGAATGCATAAAGGTTGGTGTGTGTGTGTGTGTGTTTGCACGGACAAACATAAAACACATATTTGCTATACCTGTTACCAGTCTCAAAACACATCCACGACACAGAGCAAAGACTCTTGCCTCCTAGTGAATGAATCACCCCAGCTACTCTCCCAGCTACATTCCTTCGGATCAAACATCGGCAGACCCGCGGGGATGCTGCGGGGATGCCGCGGCATCCGCCTCCGCCACGCTGTCGAAGGTCTCCTCAACAATTTGGTCTCCGGATCTCGGACAGCACAGGAGGTTCAGCAAACCTGCCGCGCCACGGGTGACCCCACGGATGAGACCTGGACCTCAAGAGAGGGAAGCCGCGAGATGCGCGAAGCCTTCCTCCTTCGGATGTCCAGATGCGCTCGCTTCGATGCGTGTTCCGCGCCGCTGTGGTGTCGATGGAGCTGCAACGATGGGACTGTCGGAGCCCCAAGGATCGGATGTTGGTCGTTTGGCTCCCATTTCACCCTGTGCCCGATGGTCGTTTGGCGCGCCCATGAGGACACAAGAGCTGGCCACGCCGATCCTGGCATCGAAACTCCGCTTCCCCAGAGGTGGGAGACCCAAAATCCACCAGGAGAAGCTCGGTGGCTAAGGTAGTGATAAGTGAAATATAATACATATTTATATATATATATACATTTGTATTTATATAGTATAGCCTCCGTGGAAGGAAGACTTCGTGCAGCCTGAGAGGACGTGATATTTGACACAAATACAGGTGGTTCTGCATAAAGAAAAGTGATGCAAAATGTGTTGTAAATCCAGATTGTTCAATCTTCCACCAACAAACTCTGTCCCACATTCAAACAAGATCCAGTCCAGAAGCCAGCGCGCGTGGCCAGGTAGTGGAAAGCGCCTGGCACACCCAAAGGACATGACATGACCTCCTGAATCTACAAGAGAAGACAAGTCTCTTCAGCAAGCATTTGGTGCTGGGCACTAGTCAAAAGGTTCAAAAGGTTGGCTTTAAGAGTAAATTGATGTGCTTTCTCTGGTGTCCCGCCTTTAAGAAGAGAGCGCAAATGAAAACAATCTTGCATCGGCTCAAAACTTTTTGCACTACCAAACCCTATCACAAGTAGTATAGTACAGGAGGTCACGTCCCTCAAGAGCCAACCCCGAAGTCGTCTCCACCTTCCTGGCCATCCCTGCCCACGTGGCCTTCCTGTGCCATCTCTTGCCCTAGCAGCTGCCAATAGCTTTGGCTGCTGGTCGCATTGGTCACCTGGTCGCATTGGTCGCCATGGCAGGTCATGGCACTGGGTCCCTGGTTGGCCACTGAGTCTATGAACCAGTCATAGACTGACCCGCTGTAAGTAGAGGACCAACGCAGCTTGACCCCACAGCCGGCAATATGAGGGAAACACACCTGGTAGGATTGAATTCATGAATTGTCCCGGCAACGGCAAGTGTTCCTTGTGGTGGTATACAATGTGATGTATCCCTCGAAGCAACATCTAGGTTTGCCTGCCCGAAGTTCAGTAGGTTCCTAGTGACTTACAAGCTTGCGAAGCATAAGGGTTTGAGTTCTGCGCCACGATCGACAAGCTTTTCGAGGCTTTAAGTCTGCCAAACAATCCACCTTGTGCATGCAGACCTTAGTAGTGCCCCGCCAGCCAGGTGGGCATCGCTGGGCTTGACTCATTGCGGAGAAGATCTCCATATCGTCCAGAAACAAAAGACCCCCCCTGGCTTTCGGTCCCTTCTCGCAGCCCGCCCGTGTGGTCACCAGTCGATTTGCCTCCATCAGCAGTTCGGGGTCGACGGGCCTGGAAACAAGCGGCTGGAGTGGCTGGAGCTTCAAAGATCACAAAGGAACGATGAAACTTGGCAGCGCAAATAAAAGTAATACATCTGCGAGGTGCCAGGCATCTGCAAAATGCGCATCTCAAGGCGGTTTACAGATGCATGACTGTATGCAGGTGTTTCCCTTGGGCGTGAGCTTGATTACACCTAGCAAGTCCAAAGCAGGCTCCGTCTCCTGCTCCAAAACCCTGTAAAGAATAGCTGGCCTAAGGGCAGGTCAACCACCCCAAATCATTCTGAATTCCTGTCTTTGGCCTTTCTGAAAAGTGTGGTCCCAGGTTTTGTTGGACCGAATGGCCAGTGTGAAGAACCTGCTTCCCATCAAGAAGCATCGATTGTTGCCAGACCACACCTCTGAAAAAGCTTGTTGATGTCTTCAGTCTTGAGCCTAATGCTAGTTGCTGGTGGCTCCACCCTCCCTAGCTATTTGCCCTCTGGCCGAATGTATGCAAGCTTGCACAACATACAAAGTAAAGTGGCTCTTGCAAGCACATGGAGAAAATGGCCTTGGCTCTACCATTCACTAACTTTGGGATCCAGTCAACCAACAAGTCCAAGCAAAGTGGATGGGCATGGGAGCATGACCTGTGAGACCCACCCATTTCCGCCGGCCGGGGTGGCCTCTGAACTTCTATGTCAGATTGCAGGAGTGAGGCCTCATCCGAAGACGCCTCACAAGCCACTGCAGGCAAGTTCTCCGCTAGCTGCCGTTCTCCCCCAAAAGTCATACAGGAAGTAGAAAGTAAGTAAGGACTAAAAGGCAATGCTAAATACCCTCCAAACCAGTCTCCTCGTCATGGAGTCATGGGAACCTGTTTCTATTTGGGTCGGCCCTTCCAGTCTCGTCTCGTATCGGCACCGTCCCGTAGGGCCCAGGATGGCCCAGGGCCGCAGCCGAGCCTCGGCCGCCGTGACGTCGGCCGTCGTCTCATCGACCTCTTGAGCATCGGGTTCCAGTGAGCTTAACTCCTTCCTCAAGCTGTTCAGCTGGATGCGAATCATCCGTAGCTTCCTCAGCCAGTGGGCGGGCTAACAGGTGAGCTGCTGATAATCCTTCACGCTGAAACACCCGAGGAAACACGAAGTTGTGGGGTTTGATTCTTTCTGGTGAACTTCAAAAAAAAGATAGCTTGGTGCGAGTTGGACATTTTCATGGAGACATCACTGCCCCCAGCCCGGCAGCTGTTGGTCGTGGCTCGGAAAACCCTGCTTCAAACGGAACCTGGCTCGAGAGAGAGAGAGAGAGAGCCTGTCTCCCTCACCTGGCAGTCTTCTCCATACGCACGACGATCACGATTCGTGTGACAGGCACCCCACGTCTCGCATCGCATGCGGCGTCTCGCGGCGTCACTCGCCGTCACTCGCCAAGCTGCGTTTCATCCGGTCTGGTGTCCGAGAAGGCCTGGTCCGAGACAACACGCGGCGACGTGAAAGGCCCGGGTGCTCAGAATCCCCTTGGTGAAGCCCATCCAGCCTTGGTGCATGAACCTGAAACCTCTTCAGAGTTACTGGATGGTACCGGGGTCTCACTATGAAAGGCCTCACCACCGTTTCACTACAGCATGAGGAGTTCAAAACGAGACACAAGCGTTTGCCCACTGAGTTGGTCCCCCTGGACGCTCGCTCGTTGCATCGATCAGCTCTACAGCTGGCCTCTACAGCTGCGCAGACCTGCGACAGGTCTGCGCACAGGGCACGGGAGCTGTGAGCGGCATTTTTTCCTAGGTCTCTGGATTTGAGACCACTTGTTTGACCTCTGGGAGATAAATCCAGAACCGTCTCCAAAACAATGAATGTAAACAGGGCGAAAACATTGGGTCTCTGTTTGCCTTGTCATTGTCCATTTGTTTGACTAACTGGTGCACCACCCAGAATGAACAGTTTTGGACTCTTACTGTGAAGCTCGTGCTCATCCTAGAGTCCTCGATGTGGCTCCGCAACAAGCGGATGCAATGCATAAAATGTCCAAATAGCTTCTTGCTTGCTGCTGGGATAGCCTTGATGATCAAGCGCTGAAAACATGTTCAGCCAAAGAAGAAACACCAGACTCGGACACGCCGAAATTCTTCCATCAGTGTTCTTTCACCATAGTGAATGAGCTTAAGCGTTCAAGCCTACTACTCTGCTCCCTGCTTCTGAAACCCCACCTCTGCTGCAAAGGCAACGATTGCAAAGAAAAGGAATGACATCGTGCAGCACACGAAGCAATATGATGCTATAAATGTCAGATGTGTCTTAGGCAAGAGTTTTTCGGTAACGTTACAGTTTGAGGAAGAACGCATGCGTGTGTTAAATGGAGAGAAAATGGCATGCGTATGTGAAATGCACCTGATCTCTGTGTCTAATTATATAATGATAGGGACTGCATAGAATTTCGGGGTGCCGCTGTGCCGCCTCTTTCTTGTTTGGGCATTTTTTCACTTGGCGGTCATTGAGCTTATCATCAGAGCTTGCACCATTGTGTGCTTTGGTTCGGTACCGCTAATGCCTGCAATCGCACATCGCTGCCCTGTTGCAAAGCAATACATACCCACTAACGAAGTACATCTGCAGATGTTGCCCGCCTTTTCCTCAAACTAGAAGCACCTCCAGGTTTCTTGTGACACAAGAGTTCTACGCTCTGATGGCTCAGTTCTACACATGAATCGCTCACTGGTTCAGCTCCTCCCAGATCCGTTCCACCGCCACCAGGAGGAGGGCTGCACCAATCACCTGGCAGGTCATGCGAATCACCGACGCTTTGAAGAGTTGTTTGAAAAGATTCAGTAATCCTAAGTATAACTATAGATTTTGCATTTTAGCACTGGCGGTCGTAGTTCGGGAATGCGACGTGTTCTTCCAACTGGAGGATGACTTGCTGAGAAGAACAGAAGTATTTTGTGCCTTGAGCTGTTGGTCGCTCTCACAAGAACTCAAAAGTCCTCAACTCCAGATCGGGTCACATACAGGGCGAACTTGTCGGAATCATCTCGGATCAGTTGCCTTGGCAGTCAAGGTGTCACAACCACGTCGCCATCTCATCTGGGGCAACTCCATTCTCTTCGTGTCCCTCCCCTGAGCCGATTGCCCGTCACAACAACCATATCCAAAACATTCCAAAACCACATACAGTACATCAAATGATGCACAAACCAAACACACCCAGGTGCCGCTCCATGGTGTTCGCCACGATTTTGGCCTTGGCATTGATCACATCCGCCTCCGCGACTGGCACCACAATGTCCTTTCCCCGCCATTCGCCTGCGATGCCCTTGCCAAAGACCCAGCCGTCTTGGTCGGCCAACTTCAGATAGGTCTGCCCATCCTGAAGCCATGTTTCGATATGTTTCGCGAAGCAGGTCATGATCTGAAGGGATGGGAACCGACCCACCAAAGTTGTTTGGGATGGCCTTTACTTTGGCCAGGTTGTTTGAGAAGGAAGTGCGCCCAGAGCAAGTAGAAGTTGGTTGTTGGACTCTTTGAAGTACCAGAGGCTAACCAAATCGAAATGTAGAAAGCCTCTACTTGATCTGTGTCATGTGCAGAACAGTTCGACCCTGCGTCCGAATCTGATCAAAGCTTCGACCCCATGCGGTTTTGGTTGACCACAGAAATTAACAGTATTCGAGGAGTGAATAGCCTACCATTACCATGGAAGTCAACCTAAGAGGATTTAGGGCTCCAGCTTTTGACTGCCACATGAGCCGACGAAAGCCTATCATGAAGACCATCCTTGATGACCTCTTTGGTGAGTGAAGCGAGTGAAGCCATGTTGCTTTCTCCACTTACAACCCTTGCACATCAAACCAAGGACCCTCTCAAGCCTCTCTGAGCCCTTCCTTCAGCACCCCGTCCCTCGAAAAAAGATCTAACTTACTTCCCTCCTCCCTTTTCACCCGTGGCAAGAGAAGGCCTCCCACCCGAGCCCCAGGCACTTCGGCCTTCTGCTTGAGCTCTGAGGCCTGAAAGAACTCCCCCGCTTTGATCACCGAGACCCACTCGCCACTCTTCAGCTTCTTGCTCTCGGCACCCGCCAGCGTCGGCGCGTTGATGTCCGCGGCCAAGCGCACCTGGAGGGTCCGGTATGTCCGGTTCGAGGAGGTTCGAGGAGGTTCGAGGTTCGAAACCACCCCAATCCCACGATCCCCATGGACCTTGAGAAAGGAAAGACCCCGTGACCCCATGGTTTTGGAGTTTTGGACCATGTTTCCGAAGACCAGCAGAGGGGTCACCGGCTCGAGACTGTCCCACGAGAGAGGTGCCGCCTCACCTTGATGAAGTTCGGAAGGTCTTTGACAATGCCTATGGACTTTTTAAACGACCTATATATGCAGGTTGAAGACCTGAAGACCCAAGAAGCGCTACCTCTCCGGATCATTCGTGCCTGGAAACCCTCCTCCCAACCCTCCCTTCATCCTCGGTCCTAGACTAAGATACTACATCCTAGTACCTCCAACGTTGAGCATGGTCCTCAGTACCACTGGCCCCCTTCCCCCCCCCCCCCCCTTCGCGCGCGCCTTGATATTCGTTTCCGCCTTGAACACCCCGGTCTCCGAGTCGAACAGCCGATCCGCCCGCGGGACCCGGCTGGGACGCGACGGACGCGACGACAACGGCGGTCGTCGACCCAGAGGGGGACAGAAGGCCCAGGTCGCCCAGGTCGCCGCTCCAAGCAGAACAAGGCTGCCAAGGCGTCCCGCCATGCCAGGTGGAACAACAGCGGTGCAACAAGAACTCAAGTGGAGTCGCCCAAACTCAAGTGGGTGCGGAGCACAGGTTTTTATAAGCCTGCTTGTAGTGCCATCACTCTGCTTCAAGCAAAGGTCCACGATGATTCACCAGAGTCATGCAAATTGTGCATTGGAAGTTGTTGCAACTCAAACTTCAATAGCCTACACAATTGGCCTGGGTGAAGAAATCCTGCACATAAGACATCTTTAAGCTAACAATGAGCCAAGATGGTAGTGCCAACATGGTGTGTGAACAATCCAGGATCCAAGACTTGAATCGAAAACCCGATCGAATCCGCCATGCTTGAGTCGAGGGTACCTGTAGCCAATCAACGGGCGCCTGCAAATCTTAAGCCATACCCTGCTGTTGGGGCAAAGTTCTACAGATTCTACAGCACTCCTGCTGTGGGCGTCTCAGCTTCACAGAAAAACTAAACTCTGCCTTTCTAGGGGTGGGTTGGGTGCCTGTCTGTTCGGGACTTTTTGACAATCCTGATCTTAAGCCAAGCAACTGATCCAAGCTGAATTCAAGGATCAAACACAACCATCCATGTCAATCAGGCTTCAAGTCAGTCAGGTGTTGACTTCTCCGCGTTCCTCTCTTCTCATACTCAAGAGTGTTCACCGAAGCCTGTAGCTCCAGGCTGTGATCTTCATACAAAGGAAGTTGACCCCTGGGAGCCACCAAGCACCACCAAGCACCACGGGCACTCCTTTTGCTCACAGCTGCACTGCCGCCACCTCAAGGGACACCAGAATGACCAGACGCTTCACCGACCAAAAAAACGGTCAACCACTGATTGGAAGACGCGGACTAGAATGACTAGAATTCCAATGCCCTCCAAAAGGCTGGAAAAATGCTTGGGACCTGGTGATTGGGAGGCGGTGTTAGAGGTGCCAGGGCAAAAGATGTGGAAATATATCTCAAAGATCAACTCTGAGAGGAGCATAGAGTTGCTTCAATGTTCCAATCTGACCAACGGATTGGGATTTCCATTAGCATGAAAATCAGAAGCAATAAAAAAGCTCGTGGAAGGATCTTCAGCCTTGTCTTGTCTGATCTCCACTGTAGTCAGAAGCGGGTCTCTACGGGGGAAGTGCAATACGTTCAAGGTTTTTCAGCGAGAGATTCTTTGGTGAAGAGGTTTGTTGTCGACTGCCTTGAGATGTTTGTCTCAACTGAAAGTTCTGGAAGTTTGAGATACTTTTAATATGACCTGCCGGAACCAGTTCTCTTTTTTCGCTTCCAGTTCTGCGTGCCTTGGAGTTCTCTTCCAGTTCCAGGTGAACGTGGCTTCCAGCGTATTGGGGAACAATGAATTCATGCGTGAAAATGGCAATGCGTCCCCGCGATCTTCAAGTATTCTGTGCAAGGTGAACACAATCGCACCTGTCTTCCCAAGCCATCTGACAGCGAATTGAATCACTCGTTGACTTGTAGGGTAACCCTTCTTTGTCTTTCAAAGCTTGGGATCTCAGCATGTCATGTAATCCCTTCTTACGCAAGGAACCAGGCCAGGGCTCGGGCCAGCTCCTTGTTTCCACCGCAGAAGAGGAGCCTGGTGACGGGGACGCTGGGGACGCTGGGGACGGCGTTCGTCCAGCGGCATCCTCCCTCTGGGCATCCTGGAGATGCGCGGCCGCTAACTAAGGCAACCTCCAAACCCAACGGTGTTGGAATAAGACTTCATCTGCCCCAAGCAGAAGAAAGGGTTTCCAGCTCAGAGGCTCACACAAGGGTGTCCAGTGCACCGATCCGGGTGACGAGTAGAAAAACATGGGCAGACACCGAGTAGCAGGTAAAGCCATAGATCTGTAACAGATACATGTGATCTTGTTGCCATTGGACTTGTGAGCGTTTAGCTATCACAACGATCGGAAACGGACACATGCACTCGCAAAAGGACTCGCGAAATGTGTGTATCTGAAATCAAACAACTCCTCAAACGACCCGGACCCCCTCGAAAAAAAGTAACAAAGCAGTCAACCCAAAAATGGCCACCTCTCCGCAATGCTGGGGTCCGCTAGCCTGCCTGGAGCTCGGGTCATAGGCCATGCTCCAGATCTCCCCGACGTCCGGCAAGTCCACCGAGAAACCTCAGCTTTATATACAAGGGAGAAACCTCTCGATGAGCATCTCAGACAAAAATAACCAAAGAAGTGGAACATCCGCCACCTCGGCACTCCTCGTCCCGAGTACCTTTCACCTCAACGTAGATCACCCAGCAGGGTGGCTGCTCCGTGAAGCCTGTTCTCTTCCCAGGAAGGGACTTGTTTGCACCGCAAACTCACCCAACGTGAAGAACTCCGGCTGAAAAAAACGGACGGCCAGGTTGTCGGACCTCCGACTTCCGAGCTCTGGAAGCGCTGGAGAACGGCTCCAGGTTGATCACAGAACTGCGCCACTCAAAACAATCAGCCTCCACAGTTGTTGTACTCACCAATCTCACCATGGGGCACTTTGAGATCCCACCTGGTGCTAAAACTTGTGAAAATCTCCAGTAGCACCAGAGATTTTCTTCAGCTCTCAATCCTTGACCTGGGCCCCTCGAAAAAGAGGATGCAAGCGTGAGTAGCATTCAGGATCGGCTTGCATAAGTGGCCACCAGGGCAACAAGTGCCAACCCCCCAGCGGACGACATGATGGTTCCAACACGATTCTCAGTGGGTAGACGGTGTGACAGGAATGCAACACCAACGATTGACTGAACTAAAATAGTTGGGAGTTAGAATATAGAACTTATAGAACCCCTTGCTGCACAAAAAAGAAGAAAAAGACTCCTGGTCAAAGGAAAGGAGGAAAGGGAACGCTCTCAACCCCGTTCTCCTCACCGCTCTCGCTGGCTCCACCCGCAGAGGTCGCGAGATCGCGCCGGGCGGCGAAGTTGGCCCGAGCTGAGCTGGAGCCCGGCCACGCGGCTGTTGGAGCCACCACAAAGCAATAGATCGTCGTGTGGCAGTTGCAAGAGGCTGAAGATCTGGGGCGCAAGCCAAAGGAAGGAGAACGTAGGAGAACAAGAAACCACGTCTTTTTCTTCTTTCATGTGGCTAGCACTTCTCAAGCAGTTGAACTGTTCTTCCTCTTTACAAAGAATTTGGCTTCTCAACAGGTCCCTCACATGAGTGTGGCTCTGGCTGGACCTAGTCTGGCCAATCTTCGTCTTTGGGGGGAGTTGTCAGGTTGGCCGTTGGTTTGGGAGTGATGGGAGTGTGGAGCGTCGAACATAAGAAAACCCACCTGTTTTTGCGACCTCCGACCTCCTCAACGAGCCAAAAAGGACTCATCGAGCCAAGCGCAAGCGCTGACGTCGGGGGGGCGCGCGGGTTTCCCGGGCCAAGACCGGGGACCTGTGGGACCTGTGGGAAGACCATCCACCATGCCACGCGGGGCCACGCGACGCAGCCACGCGCTGCGTGGTAAAGAAGAACTCCAGAGATGGGACAGCGAGCGTCGAGCGTGGATGCTGCGACCAAAAACGTCCATCGTACTGTGTGGGTTCGGCTGGCTTGGTTCAGTCTCCGGTCGGTGGCGACGACTCGGTGAAGACTCCAAGTATCCATCCTTTTTACGGAGAACCCAAGGGCAGGTTTGACCATCCTTCCCGCCCAAAAAAAACGCATTCCCAAGCAAGAACACACACCCCGCCACGGCTGGAAAAAGAAAGAAAACACGGTGAAAAAGGGTCGCAAAAAGGACAAATTCGTTTTTTGGAACGTGCTTGCAAACTCTGTCCTTAATCCTGCCATTATGCCGGAAAACGCTCGAAAGGTGTTGGACGCCAAAGAGCGTTCTGTGCCACTACGGCCATACATCAGTCGACACCCTAAACCTAAACCCCAAGCCCTTGGTGTGTCGGTGCGGTTCTATGCGGTGCGGTTCGGGACCCCGAGCGAGCACCGGACGCCACTCCACCGGACGCGCCTTGCCCACCGTGGCGTTCATGGGGCCCCAGCGATGCTGGCCCTGCAGGTCCAACGCTGACCTGGCAGCTCGAGCGGGGCTGCCAACCCCGGGCTGGCATGGAATGAACCGGGCCAATCCCAAAACACGGCCAACGCCCTTTTTTGGCCCAAACGGTCTGTGTGTCAACTCGACTCCTCTCTTTGAATGTTGGCCAGGCCAAGCAAGGCCCCTTTTGGCAGTGCGTGTCTTGGCCTCATGACGGCTTTGCCAGCATGTCTTGTTGAAGAAGTGCCAACAAAGAAAGGGCCGCTTCCTTCTTGGCATCCTTCTTGACTCCAGCTGCTGCAGATGTAGAAATGGAACGAAGAATTGAGGAATAGTGCAAATGGCAAACCCACTCCTTGTTCAACTGCTCCGCCTTTTCTTGCAGGTCCACCTAACTTGTTTTGCCATGTGTGACATATGCGTTCACGATAGTCGTTGAAGACATTTTAAACTAGCATTCAAAAATGAATTGGACCCAGAATGTCTTACTTGAGCTTACTTAATTTGTCCCAGCCCAATAATGTCCAGAATCCTCATTGCTCCCTGCACTCCGCTGGCCTTAGTCTTCTTGCAGAACAAGTTGAGCACCTGCAGTGCCTCAGATGCTGCCAAACTCCCAAACAAGACCTCCTTGGCATTCCGCTCTCGCGCCCTCTGAGCTGAGACCTCCTGACCAGGATCTGCTGCTGCTGGCACCTCAAAGGTCCGAATCATCTCCAACTGCTGCTGCTCTGCAGCAGCCAAGGCGCTGGTCGGCCGGTCCGACCGCTCCGCCAGCACCACATAGGCAGACTCGGCTTGGCGGGCGCGGCCACGGCCCTGGACGAAGGACACGGAGTTCACCATCGGGTCAAAGCGGATGACGCAATTGGCAGCTGGAACATCCATGCCCTCCTCTGCCACCACTGTGGCAACAAGGAGGTTCACAGAGCCCACAGAAAAAGCTCTAAGCCGCTGCTCAGAGTCTTTGGCGGAAATGGAGAGACTGGGCGTGGCAGGTGAGGATGAAGCATAAATGCAAGCA